AGTGTGTCCATGGAGGGAGGCCATGAATATGTACTCACCAGGCACAAGATAACACACATTTGGGGAATGGAGGCATAGCTGTGCTCAAATGTAGAGGTGGCCAGATTCCAGGGTGGTGGTTTTTCTACGTGGTACTAGAACAAAGCTGTGCTCATTTGTCTCCATGTTGCCCGGGGCTGCTGCTGTGCTGGCGGAGCAGAGCGGAGTAGTTATGACCCACCATGCCCCTCGAGGTCGGATCAGTAAAGATAAACCTTAAAGATGTTTATTAGGGATGTTTGTGGTAGAGTGTAGCCCCTAACTACTAACATTTCTCAGTTTAGGGGAGAGCTGACTGTACTTTAATGTTACTAACACTGATTTGATTTGAAGAAATTGCTTTCAGATCTAAAAATGCGCATTTGGTGTGGTGCCTATAGGTAATAGTCTATAAGGTAGTATATAGGATTTTGCAACAGAAAATCAGAGTAATGTGTTGTCAGTGTAGGAATGCCTGGTACATCTTCATTGCTCTGATAGCATGAGAATACACCTTCCTTCAAAGAATCTGAGTGAATAAATGTTTGGTTCATCTTTTCATTTTATTTACCAACATGGCTATTGCCTATACCAAAGAGAAAAAAGGTTTTAAATTTAACAACCTTTGCTGGAGTGATTTACTGTGATCTAAGATCTGTAAATAGAACTTTTGTGAACTAAGTCTTGTTTCAATGTCGTAAATGAGAAAACTGGAAATTCAGAGATTTGGTAATTTGTTTGTAATAAGATGAAAAGGTTGTGCTTCCCACCAAGGTCTTATGGACAAAGCCTAGGTTTATCATTTTAATTCTTTCCAGACAAATCCTGTTCTCTCTCAGGATGAAGAAAAGGAGAAAATCAGACAGACAGGATCTGTGCCCTTGGAGCTTCCTGTGTCTGCTAAGAGTTTCTGGGAACTTAGCCTTTGCTTTCACAAGCGATGAGTATATTACAGATCGCTGTGAGGCTGACAGTGGCTGACCTGATGGGATCCTAACCTCTAGCTAGGCCATATAGGGGTGGGCACATGGATGGATGGATGGATGTGTGTGTTTATACTTAGCAGGTTTGAGGACACCTGTTGATAGATGCTGGCATGTTGGTTCTATCTCAGTAACCCTATGTACAACAGACAGAAACGTTGCCCAGTCCTGCCCCATCCTCCCAACATTCCTGCTATGCTTGAGCCCATTGTTTGCTGCCAGTGTGCCAGCCCATCTCCTTCAAGGTCTTCCTTTTTACACGCTCTACTTTACCAAGCAGGATGTCCTTTTCCAGGGTCTGCTCTCTCAACATGTCCCACACAGAGAAGACAAATCCTGGCCATAACTTTTCCTCAGAAGATGTGTCCCTTCTCCTGGCAGTCCACAGTGTATTCACTGTTTAGCATACCAACACTGTAATTAAAATACATCGGTTCTTCATTTTCCATATTCATATTGCCCAATTTTTCACTTGGCACATGGCACCATTTAAATACTATGACTTGGGTCAGCTCTAAGTCCTCAAAGTGATTTATTTACTTTCAAACCTTTGAAGAGGTCTTTAGTAGATGTGCGCAATGCAATATGTTTGATTTCCTGCTTTTTCCATGGGCAGAGATTATGGATCCAAGCAAAATAAAATGCTTGACAGCTTCAACCTTTTCTCCCTTTATTAAGACATGTTGCATGTTGGTCCAGCTGTGGAAATTGTTTTCTTTACATTGAGGTGTATGTAATGTGCACTTGAAGATAGTAGTCTTTGACCTTCATCATGAGTGCTTCCAGTACTCTTGCATTTCAGCAAACAAGCCTGTGTCATGTGCACATCACAGATTATTAAAGAGACTTCCTCTTATTCTGATGCTGTGGTCTTCAGCTAATCCCACATCTTGGGTTATTTGCTCAATATATATAGATGGATACAACCCTGATTCACACCTGCTCTGATTTTCAGCTAAATTGTACTCCCCCCACTTGTTTTAACCTCACAATTTTCAGTGTTTTATTCAATTAAACATTTTTTAAAAGTTTTGATATATTATTAATTGGGAATTAATACAGATGTCATTCTAGTTCAGTCATGTCAAGCAGTACTGTACAATTGCCACCACAGTTCCTAAGCATTCTTTTTCTTTCCTTAGCATCATCTCTCTTTTACACCAACCCCAAACCTACCCCTCATCCCCTTATTCTACTTGCTCAGAAGTTCATCAGCTCAGGGTTTCATATATCGAAATACATATAACACAACTTAAAGAGGGTGACCCCAGTGACATAACACCTTTCAGATAAACCATACTATTAACAAAAACAAAATAGAAAAATAGAAAATGTTGAAAACCAGATCAGGTAGAGAACACACATCAGAGGAACAAATGATCTGACAAAGTTCTAATTGTTCAAGTCAGGTTTATCCCCTTTGATCTTCTACATTCATCTCTTGATATAGTTAGAGTTTATTGTTCCAACCTGGCCGATAAACACATGTGGGGTTAATTGAAAGGCGGAGCGATAAATAGCTTGGTGAGCCTCACCTTTCTAGTTCTTGGGTCTCTTGCTTTGTGATGGTTGGACCAAGGTGCAGGTGCCTTAGCCAGTTCCCTGCTTCACTGGCAAGGCTCACTTCCTGCAATACATCCCCGAGAAGAAGCTGCATGGTCCTACCCCGATGTAGCCCTGGGTGCGGAGCAGCCGTGTGAAGACCCCTCCCAGTGCTGAGATGCTTACACATTCACTGATTCAGCTTTCCTCCTGCAGTCAGCATCATTGCATGTGTGTTGTGAGATGGAGGAGGACTTTGTGGATTGGTGTTGGACATATGGGTTAGTGGGTTGTTGGACTTGTGGACTTGAGCAGCACTGGGTTGGGATATTTTCTTGATATAAAACTCTCTCTTATACATGAGTTTCTGTGGATTTGTTTCTTCAAAGTACTCAGACTAACACATCTCTCCAGTAGTGGAGAGAGACTAGTGGAGAGTATTCCAAATAAAGGTACCAAGCCTCATTTTAAAGGTCCTGTTGCCAGGTCCTGTGGTTTGATCATAGGGATGGATCATGAAGCCTGGAAGGTTGGCCTTAGACCTGGCAGGGTTTTGTATTCGCAAACTTGTGTTTTCACAAAGAGTAGCTTAGTGGGTTGTGGTTGGACTGCTAACCACAAGACCAGCAATTCAAATTAAGCAGCAGCTCCTAGGGAGAAAGATGATGATTTCTGATTCTGTAGAGATGGACAGCCTTGGAAACCCACAGGGCAGATCTACTCTGCCTGTATGGTTTGTGTGAGTCGGAATCAAGTTGATGGCTGAGAGTTTCAAGGGTTTTGTTGTTGTTTGTTTCTATGAGAAACTAGCTGTGAGCCTGGCCTGCAGAACATGCTGCTGGGGGGGGGGTTGTTGGGTGGATTTGGCCTTTGTGTCTGTGGTTGTGGGTGTGGAAGAAGAGAAGAGACCGGAGATATGGGGCTGATTCCAGAAATATTGAGGGGTAAAACTCAATTGCATCTACACATGGTTAGATTGTCAGGAATGTGGGAATAGGAACTGTGTAGAGGACTCCCTACATTTATAGTTGGTTATTCCCTTACTTTTCCCTTGAGTTGCTTTAAAGTTTGTTCTAGTTGGTTTTTCCACATTCTAGGCAAAGATTAGTTTTCAGTCTTGTAGCCAAAAGCCTTTAGCTTGATAGCTAAAATATTAGCATCTCTGAGTGAAAGTTTTGATCCCGTCTTCATTTAAACTTTGTTAGTTGTTCCCGGTTTACCTCTTTTCCTTTTCAGCTGTTTTCTCTAACAAAATTTCTAAGTAAATGATGTGGGTTCCCCCCCCCCCCGCTTTCCAGTTCATATAAACATTATGCTTACACTATACTGTAGTCTATTAAGTAAATGTATAGTCACATTATGAAAAAAGTGAATATTATGAGAATTTCCAAAATGTGACACTCAGGCATGTAGTGAGTTCGTGATATTGTAAGTTATGGAGCCAATAGATTTGATTGCCCCAGACCGTCCATGTGAAGAAGTGTATCTGGATAGCACTGTCCACGAAGTACGCCTGTAACCGGGCTCCTTTCCTCATCTCTCAGCCTCTTTTCAAGGTTCCTCCATGTGTCAGGCAGTGCTTCCTTTATCACTAAAGCTTCACCAGCTGGATAGACAGCACTTTGTTTTACCCATTCACCCACTGATGGAAATAGGGGTGGTTTCTTTTTCTTGGTTAATTATGAATAACGCAATAATGAACATTTGTGGACGTTTAATGTGAGCTTAACTATAAGGGCCAATGGTAAGTCTGTTTAACTTTTTAGACACTGCCAGACTATGTTCCAAAGAAATGTGGTTTTGCATTCTGACCAACTACATATGAGGCTTCCCATTTCTCTGAATCCTTACTAACCCTCGTTGTTATCTAGATTTTGTATTTAATGATGTTAGTAAATGTAAAGTGGTATTTCCTTGTGGCTTGGATTTGCATTTCCCTGATGGCTAATTAGGGCTCTGGTGGTGTAATGGCTAAGTGTTGAGCTGCTAACCTCAAGGTCAGTACTTGGAAACCGCCAGCTGCTCTCCAGGGAAAAAGAAGAGGCTTTCTACGCTTGTAAATAGTAGAAACTCACAAGGACAGTTGTACCCTGTCCTGTGGGGTTGCTATGAGTTGGCATTGACTCGATGGCGGTTAAGTTGTTTGTTTGTTTGGATGGCTAATTAGCACTTGGAACCCACCAGCTGCTCTTCAGGAAAAAGATGAGCCTTTCTACTTCTGTGAAGACTTGCTGTCTCAGAAACCCACAGAGGCAGTCCTGTTTTGTCTTCCTCAGTTGTCAGGACTCAGAATCGACTCTGTGACAGTGTGTGGCTCAGGATGGTGAGCTTCATTTTAAAAGGAAAAGCAGTACTGTGATTTCATGGAGAGGGTGAACATGAAAATAGTGGGACTTTCATGTCATTGCCTGGAGAGAATTAGTTTTGATGTGTTTAACCTTTTTTCTTTTTCTCTAGTTATATTCCCTGAATGACTACAAGCCACCTATTTCTAAAGCAAAAATGACCCAAATTACTAAGGCAGCCATCAAAGCTATCAAGGTGAGTAACACTTTCATCTTGTGTTTTCAAAAGAAAGTGCTACCTCTAGTATTTTGTAGAGGAGATAATTTTTATGGATTCTATGTTCTCTTCTCAGAGAAAGTGTGCTGCTTTGGGGGAAACAACAAAATAAATGTCACCTGCAAACCTTCCACTAGAGACAAAACATTTTGGTAAACATTCCAAAAGCTTTGAAGTGGTGATTTTTTTTTTTTGGTCATTTCCATTGTCAATGTGATATATTGATATTTTTCTTATTGATTCTCATGTAGACTTGAACAGTGGTCATTGTATATATTGTACATAGGCCATTTGCATTGTGGGAAGAGGCTGTAGGCAATGAGCCAGTGTTCTGATGTAGAAGCTTTAAACTTCATGTTGACTTAATTGTGAAAGCTTTTGAAAAGCTCAGAGAAAGGTTGGATCTTCTTTAGTGAATACACAGATGTACACAATTTTACATAAAATGTATGCCTTTAAAGAACCCTTTGAAGCTCAATTCTAGGTAACCTCAAGAGGTTCATCTCCCTAAATCTAGAAATTTTTCTACTTGAGCTGCTAATTTAGAGCTGTTAAAATTGAGAGTGAAGGACTATATATTTTTAAAAGTTTTATTAGCATCTAATTTACATATCATACAATTTAATCATTCATTTTAATAAGAATTGTGCCGTCATCACAGTCCATTTCAGAACATTTTCTTCTTACTCAGACTCATGACTGTTAGCTCCTCATTGTCCTTCCCCACTCCCACACACACATGTCCTCCGCTGTGCCCCTAGGTAATTATTAATCCACTTACCGTCTATAGATTGGTATATCCTGGAGTTCATATACAGAAAGTCATACAAAACACAAACAAGAAACAAAAACAACAATAATGGCAAAACAACAAAAACCTCAGCCAAAAGGAAGAAGATATTCAAAGAACTAACTTTAAAATGGGTCAAAAGGGAAATCAAATGAAAACGTGTTCCTGTATTTTAACTTCACATACGTCAGAGGGGATTCACTGGAGGCTTAATCCATGTGGGGACCCTGCAAATGGGTTTTGGGCTTCCACTGTCATCCATAGCCTTAGGCAAACTGAGTGTTTGGAATGTAAGGTTTTAATTCCATTTTCTTTTTTGGGTTTGGGTTTTATTATTTACAGTCCGTGGATCACACAAGTTGGTACGCTTCTTCTGTCTGGACTTACTTAGTCGATACTCCACTTAGATGGCTTTTGTTTTAAGACAAGCCTTTAGGATCCTGAATGCTATTCTTTCTGATAGTTGGGTACCTCACTATGCTTTGCTATAGCACCCATGCCTTCAGGATCTCTTCATGAGGGTGAGTACTGAGTAGGGCTATGTCATAGGAACGAATTGTTTTAGGTTAAAGCTTCAATTAAAGTTCAAGCCGAATATCCATTCAAATATCTATGCTTTTATGTCTCTGGTTCACTTTTAGAGACATCATTTTATGACAGAGGACATTATAAATCTTCCTAATGGGACATACGGTAAATTCTATCGATAGTATCATTAATTTAGCCAGTGGTGGAGAATTTAAAACACTTTTGAGAAAAGGAAATTATACTTATATAGGCCAACTTTTTGGACCGTAATACGTACATTGACATGTACAGATTAACAATTTACTTAACTGGGCATTATTTATATGAACAATGAAGTTTGGATATAGGTCAAAACTTTCACAGCATAAGTGACTAGACATTATTTATATGAACAGTGAAGTTGGGGGATAAGGCAAAACTTTCAATAATACTCAATCACAAAGGCAGAATCATACTTGCCAAACTATTATATGTTATAAAAAAACAGAGAGCATTAAAATGGTAAATAGATTATAGTCCCCTGGTGGTATAGTGATTATGCACTGTGCTGCTAACTGTAAGGTCAACAGTTTGAAACTCCCAGCAACTTTGTGGGAGAAGACTGGGGTTTTATACTTCTTTAAGAAGTTACAGTCTCAGACACTCTCAGGGCAATTGTATACTGTCCTATAGAGTCGCTATGAGTTGGCATTGACTTGATGGCAGTGAGAAAAAAGATTGTAGTCACAGGCCATCATTCTTTGGGTATCTTCAGAGCAAGAGATCTGAACCAAAGTTCAACAGCTATCAATTTCATTACCTTGGGATAGCGGTCATCTGCCTTTTCTCATACTAGGGTGTTAAGTCCAAGGGAGTAAGTCAGTTCCTTAATTCTGATACAGGTGAGGTTATCTTAGTGGGGTTTCCACTGGGTGTCAGAGTCTGACTCAAGACCCTGTAGGCCAGAGAAGCACGCCCATGTGTGTTTTTGAGGCTGAAAATCTGGAGCAAGTAGTTTCAGTTCTCTCCCGAGCAGCTATTGGGTTTGAATGCACACTTTTCAGGGCTATAAAACTATTGGTTGTCTATAAAGTACCTAATGGTTTACATGGCAATGCTACCACATCTTCTCCCATAGGGTGTAATCTAACTCACTGCCGTGGAATTCATTCCCATGCTCAGTGGCTGTAGGACACAGTAACCCTGCTCCTGTGGTTGCCAAAACTGTTATGCCTTTGCAGGAGTAGAAAGTCTTATCTTTCTCCCTTAGAGCAGCTGGTTGGTATAGGTACTAGTGTTTCCTTTTTTCTGATGTGGACCAGGGTCTAGGTGAGGTTAAGTAATTAGTGTTAGAGTCAGTAGGGCTATTCACTAGTGAAGTTTATCCTTGGAGTCCATAAATTAAGAGTCCAAATCAGTGGTTCTCAACCTTCCTAATGCTGCGACCCTTTAATACAGTTCCTCATGTTGTGGTGACCCCCAACCATAAGATTATTTTCCTTGCTACTTCATAACTGTAATTTTGCTACTGTTATGAATCGGGCAAACCCTGTGAAAGTGTCATTCAACCCCCCCAACGGGGTCGCAACCCACAGGTTGAGAACTGCTGGCCTAAATAGTTACTACATATTATGGTGTTCTTTTTCTTTATTATTAATATTTAATCACATATTTTATATTTTACAGTAACTGAACCGTTATAGAAGTTTCAAGAACATATAGCACCATGTATTCTTCCCTTAGTGCCACCAGTTGTTAATATTTGCTTCTTTTGTTTTCATTTCATTTCACACTTGTTTTCTTTTGCCTGACTCGTTTGAAAAGTAGTTCTGCAACTTACAAACAATGGCATCATGTTTCTACATCTTTGATTTTGAATTTCCTATAGCAATAGCACTGTCAAAATGACAATCTAATGATCATATGTAATAATTTCACTTTGATATGGTACTATGGTCTAATGCATAATCTATAGCCCAATTTCACCTGCTGTCTTAGTATTGACGTAAGTAGTTGTCCCTGGTTTTTCAAGATTGTTCAAGGATCGCACATTACATTTATTGGTCATGTCGCCAAATCTGTTTTGTTTTATCCATCATTGATAGTTTTGAAAAGTTCAGAACAATTGTTTTGCAATACTGGATTATTTTAAATTGCACTTAGTACATACATTGAACTGAGATTTCACTGCCTTTAAAATGATATTTAAATGGTAAATAGTGCTTCATATTACAGCAAGTTGAGGATTTTTATCATTGTTAAGAGAAATTATTTTAATAGGTGCTTTTGAACATCACCTTTCTCAAAACCACATGGACCACCACTGTGGAAGATAACTGACGTGAATTAAGAAAACTTTTAATAGAAAGTTTAGGAAGCACCCGTGCCCTGAATTACATATAGTAACTTCAGCTAAAAAGCATTATAATTTTTTTTCTAAGAAGAGTTGTTATTTTATAAAATCACTTTGTAATTATTTGAGGTTATTTCCATTGCTTATAGCTATTGAAATGTCTGTAAGGTACCTAATGACTTTAAATAGTTTTCACCTTTTGTATTTGAGTGACTTAGACTACTGATGAAACCATGCATTACTTTATTGCAAAGTACATTTCCCCCCAAGGAAAAGCTTATTGTACATTTGGGGAATGGTAAAATATAAGTAATGAGATGTTCCTAATTTTCCATTTTATAAATGATTTTGTGTAAGACCACTTGAGTGATCTTGTATCTTTTCAGCCTAAAAGGGATTTTCTAAACATACTTCATGAATTTTAAAGATTAAATGGAAGCACAGTTCTAGTGACTTTTTAAAAAGATAATTTTGTTGGGGGCTCATACAACTCTTATCAAAATCCATACATACGTCAATTGTATAAAGCACATTTGCACATTCGTTGCCCTCATCATTCTCAAAACATTTGCTCTCCACTTAAGCCCTTGGCATCAGCCCTTCATTTTCCCCCCTCCCTTCCTGCTCCCCCTCCCTCACGAACCCTTGATAATTTATAAATTATTATTTTGTCATATCTTACACTGCCCAATGTTTCCCTTCACCCACTTTTCTGTTGTCCATCCCCCAGGGAGGAGGTTATATGTAGATCCCTGTAATCAGTTCCCCCTTTCCACCCCACCCTCCCTCCACTCTCCCAGTATTTGCACTCTCACCACTTCTAGTGAGTTTTAAAAATAAATATACTCATTAACCTATTGCCATTGAAGTATTGAAATTTATAAGGCAATGTTCTCCATAGTTTTCTTAAATGTTTGTTTCTGTTTTCGTCATAATGTTAGGTTTTATGAAACTTAAAACTGTTTGTTTTCTCACAGTTAATATAAGCAGAAATATAGAAAAGTTGAAAAATTCTGCCTCGTTGACAATTCTAAGCTTTTTTTTTTTTTCATTGCTAAGCTTCTATCTGTGCATTTGCTTCCTTCTCCCATATCATTTTTTCTCCACTGTGAGGGCATTGTATGCCCCTACATCTTACCCCAGATAAAATGACCTGCAGCTCCACCATCCAGGAGAAAGTAGAGGGAGATTAATGAAGGTGACAGTTCTCTTGCAGACATTAGTTAATGCTATTTGTATTTTCTATTACCATCCTTGATTAGGTGATACAGGAAATGTATTCTTTTCCTGTCATGAAAGTGAGAATAAACATCTGTCAGTGAGTTAACCACAATTACTCTTATCAACATGCTGTTTGTCACAGAATGCTCTAATAAGTATTTGTGTTTAGTAACATGTGGCCACACAGACCATATAACTACATCAAAGCTTTCTTTTTACCTGTCAGATGCTGAAACTAGATGCTTATGACAGTGAAGGACATAAATGTTTGTCTCCGAATTCTTAAAAAATTTTTTTTAAAATAATTTTATTGTGGGCTCTTACAGTTCTTATAACAGTCCATACATCCATTGTGTCAAGCACATTTGTACATGTTGCCACCATCCTTTTCAAAACATTTTCTTTCTACTTGAGCCCTTGGTATCAGCTTCTTCCTCCCTCCCACCCTACCCCAATCTCAAGAGTTTTTGATTAAAGTGTATTTTGATAGACCTGTGAAATATATGGTTAGGAGGACATTTCTAGGCTAATTGGACAGGTTTTAAAACCATACTTGTTTTTTTTTCTTTTTCAGTTCTATAAACATGTGGTACAGAGTGTTGAAAAATTCATTCAGAAGGTAAGTATATAATTTTCTATAAATATGCTAAATATATTATGGTAAATTAATGCCTTGTGATTGTCTTCTTTAAGTCGGTGTTTAAGTTTAAATTATTTTGATAAGACTATTAAAAAGTGATTCCTGTTAATTTTCTTTTTAATTGATGCATAAAATGAAAGCACTCTTTGGATAATTTTGAAAACAATGACTTTCCGCTAGGTAGTTTTGATAAATTTGTATAGCCATAAAGTACATTTTGTCATTTGATAAAAAGAGTGTCAACTGATTGATTTGGAATGAGATTATAAATATATATCGCTTATAGCTTTTAATGAAACATTACCCTGATTATTTTAAGCTTTATGCCTAGGTAGCAGTTTTTTGGTAAAACTTTTATTTTAAGCTTAATTTACTCCAGAGCCGTAAGTTTTTGCTTCTTCAGTTTCTTCTGGGAGATCTTTGCAACCTCCTCTTCTGGCTTCGGAACCGCTTGTTGCTTTTCAGTCAGGGTCATTTCAATGTGGCAGGGGGAGATTGTGTGGACTGATCCGCCTGTGAGCTCTGTAAGTCCGGTTGTCTATCTTGGGAACTTTGTTCACCTGAATGTACTCAATGACCAGAGAATCCTCATCTCTAAACCCATAAGTTTCTTTCAGATAATTGGTGGCTTTCCAGATATGCATACCCTTGATGGCCTGGGCAGTGTCACAGGTGTTCTCAAAATGGACCCATAGATTCGACCCTCTTGCTTTTCATGATTTTATGGGGTTTTCTGGGTCAAGTGAGTGGTGAAACATTTCAGTTGCTTACTCAGGCTGTTAGGGGAAGAGGAAGAGCAGAGGGTCTTGGGAAAATTTGTGGTCATTCCAGCTCCTATTCTTTCAGATAGGATGTGGATGGAATATTCTCCACAAGCCTCTTCTTGATTGATCCATTATTTCCCTTGTTGACAATCTCTTCTGTACACTTGCAGTTCCATTCGCTAGGTGAAACAGAGGGAGAGGAAATTGAGTGAAGCAGAGGGAGAGGAGATTGAAAACCAGTTGTCTTTGTGTTCATGTGTTAATGCTATTTGTAAACCAGATCCAGGGACCTAGATCGCAGTTCTTTGTCATTGTCCTTGTGACCAGAAGCCTGTTGGTGCCCTAGTTTTGACAGGAGTGCGTAAGACTTATCCTTCCAAACTGTAATTAATTTAGGTTTTGTACTCAATTCATTCTCGTGCTTTGATGTAAGAATAATAGCATTTTGTGTCTTAATGGATGTGGAGCACCAAGAACTCAGCAGAGTGGCCAGATTGTTGTGGAACAGATATTGTTGATGAGAAAAGTATGTAAGAGCCAAAGGGGAGTTACTGTGTCATGGAATCGGCGAGGTCGTTTGTCTTGAAACAGTCTGCTAATTTGTGTGCCTTTGCTTTCTTCTTCCCCTGCTTGCAAGCCTTACTTTCTCAATATGCTCTATAAAACTGGGAGCCAACTAATTTAGGTGATTTGAGGCTAAGATTCCAAAGTTAAATGCAAGTTTGCTGACCTTTCAATAGATACATCAGTATAAGAAATGGGAATGCTCATTATTGGGAGGTTTCTTCCTTCTATAACATCAAGATGTCATTTTAAAAGGCTTTAATGTCTAAAGCACAGGAATTTTGGTGACAAGAAGAGTACATGCATAGCTACTAATTAAAAAATCAGGCTCGAACCCACTGCTGTGATGGAGAAAAGACCCGTTGACCAGCTCGCAGAAAGATGGCAGCCTTTATTGGAAACCACTTCTGTTGTGCAGGTTCTCCTTGAGTCAGCAGTGATACAATCATGCACAACACCAGTGATGTCTACAGCAATTCTGCTTCCACTATATTGCCCCTTGATTATGGAATTTCCAAAAGATCTTCCTGAAATCCAGGTTTTGCTTCACTGACGCTAGGGAGGGACCTGGGATTTCGCATTCACTTATGAGTAGTACGGCTTGTTAAAATGGTGTGATTGTGCCCTGTGACCACCTCTGACTTCACAAAGGGAGGGAAAGAGTCAGAGTGCACATCAGCCCAAGACTTAGCTGGAGATTGGTCAGGCTTCCACCTTCCAAATGTGTTCACCGTTTCTGGTGCTCTTTACTTCTTTGTTGGGTAACTAATTCCTTGCAGTGGTCACACAAACCTCACAGACTATACTCAAAGTTATGAGGTTATTAAGAAAGCTCAGAAGTTACTCAGAATCAGAACTGCTTAGGTTATAGTTCTTGGGTCCGGACAACCGTGGGTTGACCTCTCTGGTTGTCAGCCTTTCAACCACATGGCCGCTTGACCTCTGCCCCATTTGGGCATTTTTACAAAGATCTTTTAATCTGCTGATGAGTACTTAAAAGTCACTCTGTTCACCAACATTTTCAGCCTGGGGCCACTCAGCCCCACAACTTCCTACCTGGGCTGGCAAACGAGACTCCCTCTTTACAGAACTAGAGGCAGCAGCAAACGAGTCTCTGACTCTCTCATGATGGGGGTGCATCTCCTCTCTGCTCTGAGAAGGCTCATTTGAAACCCAGTGGATGGCAAAACTGGCCAGTCTCCATGTTTGAGTTGTGTAACACTATTTGCATGCCCCACCCCTCATGAGTGCCACATAACTTATATACACGATTAGTAAGCTAGTCAGCCCCCTTGGTAGGTCACGCACACCACACATTTGGTGGGAGTCAAGACACAATAATAGCTAGAAGAGTCATCTTGAGTAATTTTCCTCACTACAGGGAATAGACATGAATTTATGGCCTTTTTTTTCTTTACTAATTTGATTTTGGGATGAGATAGTTCATGCACGATTGCAGGAAAACCTAAGGGGAGCAATGTACCTCTGTGAAATACGAGAAGGGCTTCAAAAAGTTAGTGGAAAAATGGAATTAAAAGATAATGTAATTTTCCTACACACAAACTTTTTGAAGCCCTCTCTTAATGAAGTCATTGGTGTTTTTCACTGCTGTTGTGATAGGCATGCCATGATACCTCGTGGTGGTTTTAATGTACAGTTCTGTATGTGTTTCCTGATGAAGGCTTTTGTCTGACGGACATTTTTTGGCAATCCCTGCCCCCAGTCTGTAGCTTGTCTTTATTTTCAACCCACAGTGGGTTTTTGTTGCAGAATAAAGATTTTTGTTTTAGTTTGCTGAGGCTCAAATTAGCGTATTTTTGTAATACTAGCAGAAATCTTTAGAGAGGCTCTGGGGGCTTTTAGTGGGTTATGTGTTGGGCTACTTTAACCACAAGGTCAGTAGTTTGAAACCACTAGCTGGTCCTTGGGGGAAAAAGATGAGAGTTTGCTCCTATACAGATGTACAGTCTCAAAAGCCCACAGAGCGGTTCTGCTCTGTCCTATAGCATCGAGACGAGTTGGTGTTGACTTGATGGCAATGAGCTTGCTTTTGAGCAGAAACATTTGATTTCCTCCTTTCCATTCTTTCAGAAAGCTTGGGGGGGGCTGGGGGGGGACTCGAGGACAACTGATTTAAGTAAACACAAGTGGCGCCTCACTGGCTGGGCCAAGCTCTGCTCCACCTGCAGGTGCTCTGCTCCACAGCACTGGATCTGGTTATGTGGACACAGCACCTCAAAATCACTGGCTTAAGTATTGTTTATAGTAAGGCATTATTTAAGCAAATGTGAGGAACTGCATTCATGAGTTTCATCAGTGAAACTTGTTAGAACCAGACCTTCATGGGCCTGCTTTTACTGGGACTTGGAAGTTTTCCAGAATTGTCAGATGCAGTGTTACTACACTTGCTCTTTTTAGTGGAAACTGTTTACGGTTTCCGTCTCAATTTTGCTGCTTACACAGGTTCCGGTTTTTGCAGGTTTACTGCATATAGATTTTCAATCTTAGGTATTTAGTATGCAAATTTGATGTAATACTCATACTTAGTAGAATAATTTGAAGTATTATTTTTATCGTTCACCTCTACAAAACAGGAGAACTTATTCATCTTTTACATATACTTTGCATATTATAAACAAATAGTCCCAGTGAAGAGAAGTCTGGATGTTACTTGATGGTTTCATGTTGTAACTGTGAAAGGTATTGAGTGATGGTGATAAACTAGAAATTAAATTGATAGTCAAATTAATTTCTTAAGTACAAAACAAAAAAAGAGAAAAAATAAAAGCCTTCACTGCTATCAAGTCAATTTACACTCATAGCGACCCTGTAGGACAGAGTAGAACTGCCCCTGTGAGTTTCTGAGACTGTAAATCTCTAAAGGAGCAGAAAGCCTCATCTTTCTCCGTAAGAGCTACTGGTGGTTTTAAACTGCTGACTTTGTGGTGAGCACCCAGCATGTACCCATTATTGCATCAGAGCTTTTTTCCTGTACACCCTGAAAAACTTTTGACAAAGTACTCTGGCATTTAATTGATTTTGTCACCAGTAAATTATGCTCTTTGTATCCCACCTTTCTCTGAGACTGGCCAAGACCAAAGGTAGAAACTTGAGGATATGCTATAATATATTTTAGAGTGTCTATTTGGATCAACCCTGCCTGTCTCTCACCAGTTGCATTATAAATCACTTATTGCCCAAGCTTACTGCTATAGTTAATTCTCATGGTGACCCTTTAATAATATAAAAATTCTGAGATTTTAAATCTTTATAGGAGCAGACAGCGCCATATTTCGCCCAAGAAATAGATGATGGGTTTGTAACCCACAACGCCACGAGGGCTCCTTGACACACACACACACACACACACACACACACACACACACACACACACACACACGTGCGCGCGCGGGGGTGGGGGGGGCGGGGGGGCTCCCCCACCTTTTAAAAATATATCACACATATCTAGCTGTTAAGAAGAATGCTCCTGCGTGGGTTTCCTTTCTGTAGGGAATATTTCTAGGAGTGGAATTGCTGGTTTGTAGTATGTATGGTTCTTTACCTTGCCTAGTTAGGATCCTGCTAGTTTCCTAACACAGTGATTGTGCACCCCCACTGGCAGTGTTCACGTTAGTGCTGCTCACTTTCTTT